AGCCGAATAAGTTCATTGTCAATATCAGAGCAGGAAAGCATTCAAGTCTTTTATACACAGTGATGAACACGTTCTCAACAGTAATTCCTATCTATGAAATCAATAATTAAAGTCATATTTACCACGATTGCATCAATTTTAATTTTTTAAAAACTGAACGTCACTTTCATGAAGTTTGGTTAGAATATCTGAATCAAACAGTAAGATTTATGTTTGAATATAATACGATTTAATATTGTAAACAATAAAGCAATAAACTGAAACGTATGATATAGGTACTTAAAAATGTCTCATTTAATGTTCAACATATAGAAGTGAAATGAAATACTAGTCGATTAGTTTCTTTATAGTACTAGAAACAGTGGTCTATTATATTACAAGTTAAAATATGTATTCACTTGATATTGTTTGTTTGAAACTTCCCATTGAGGTTTGAAACTGCGATTGATCAGTCTGTTATTGGCATATGTGCATACTGCGCGTATTGCCTCAATATAGCTGAGTGAATAACGCGATGGCGTTTGAAGTGAATGGTATTGGATTCGAGTCCCAGAGTGATCATCAACTCCAAGATGCAGGTAAATCCAGCCGACGAGTCTCAAATAGGACGAAACGCGCGTCCTGGATTACACTGTTAGCCGCTATCCATATTTGCTTAATAAGATATGTATATTTTGTTATTAATATTATTTTTTAAACTTTGTAAACAACGATTTGACAATTCAGTCAAAAAATATGTGGCCATCTTGAATTTATTCTATGCTTATTTCATTATCGTTACATCAATCCAATAAAATGGTTACAAGGGAACACTTTTGATACATTTCTATAATATTGTATTAACATTTCAGCTTAATAGAATGAATCATATCAATTGCCTTTTTCCATATGTACTCCATTTATCATCTATTTAACTATATTTATTTAGAAACATCATATCATGAAGTAGTTGTTTAGTTGTTTTTTTTAATTTCCAGTAGAGTAAATTATGAAGAGAATTGACGATATGTATATACAAATAAGATATACCCTTAATCCTTCATAAGTTACTATTATGTGTACAACTAATTTCTTTTATTGATATGCATACAGTATGTTCTAGGAATGATCATTACTACATTTTTTTCATTATAATCAAGACAAGATAAGAAACCATTTTGAATATTTATTCACTAAAATAATAAATACCATAGTTACTCTATTAAAAATTACAATCTATTCTTATTTATATAAAATAAACGGTGATAATTAATAGAACATATTGGGATTATTGCTTTCTTTTGATTGTAGCTTTCATAAAATTCTCCAAAAAGAAAGAAATATATTTTTTCTAGGAAATTTGAAATGTCAACTATTAATTCAGGGATTAAGAGAAGGGTTAATGTTTAAATGATTCAATTTGTATGCTAAACTAACAATAAACTTTGTAAATAAAACAACCCACTATAATTCTTCATTAACTTCACCTGTGGCTTTTCTAGATTTACTGCCGGTCCCAAGCCCGGGTAAAGGAGGAGGGTTGGGCATGAGGTTAGTGACCCTATCGCGTAGAAAATTAACACGCTAAAAAAACGCTAACCATAATTCTTCATGATAAATAAATTTAACTGATTTTATTTACAGCATTTCTGACAATTTCTAAGGATAAATAGTGAACATAATTAAGCTAGGATAATGTATAAATAAAAATAAATTTTATTATACCTTACATTATTTTTTTTTAAACGTTGTCTGTTTGATCCTGTCTATGATGGTCATTATTAATTTTGTTAATTTCTTTATGTTTACTGATCCATATTATATTTAAGTTTAATATTGAAAAAAACCGATGAGAAGTTCCATAATTTTGATTTATCAATAAATTGTACTAGTGTGATGTGTGCAACTGATGTCGATTTGATGGTTCTTTTAATTTATTAAATATACTCTGAATACATTATTGGGAAATAAATGGATAAGAACTGGTATAAGAAAAAAATGTTTTTATACTAATTGATACCATATTGGAACACTTGTTCGTTGTTCCAGTTTATCAAATATACTGTGCATACATCATTGGGAAATAAGTGGATGTAAGACAATAAACATTTTTGATAATGAACTTATTTAATAAGAACTGCTATAAGAGAGATGTGTATACATTACTGAGCTAGAGCTGAAGTTAAATAAAAACGTTTTTATTAGAAATAAATCATTACGTTTTTTACCAGATACCTTACAAACATCATATTACTCTAAAATCAAAGGTCAATAGATAGAATTAGTAATATGAAAATTGGGTTTCAGCCGTTAATTGAATACTATTATGCAACACTGTGAAAAGTATATTATTTGCGAAAGTTGATAGAATTAGTAACACTGTTTCAATGTGTTTCATTTGTAATTCATTTACCGAAACATATTGATACTCTTTTATTGTATTCAGATTCTCAAAACATAAAGACCGATTTCTTTAAATCTTTGAGCACGTTACAGAATATCTTGTGATACAGTATCCCACTTGCTTATTTTAACTACAGAAAAGTCTTTTCGAGATAGATTGATAAATTAACAAAACGTAAGGAATTAAGTAAAACAGCGTATTACTTCAAGTGTGATGTGTGTTACTAATGTTAACAGATATAAGCGGTATGTATCACCAATCAAAAGTGAAATGCCTAGAGGCAGAAAATTAAGAAAATCGAAGAATAGAGAACGAGAACTGAGAATGTTTGGTGCAGAAACGAAGGAATAATCATCTGAGAGAATTGACTGATATTTCGCAAAAAAGTATTTATTGTATAGTCCTCAGATTTTACTAAGTGATTCTATAATATTTATATTCAAATACATTTGATTGTTCCCACTTATGTTCTGGTTCACTACACTAGTTATATACATAAATTTTTCTATATTGTAATTATCGATTAATATTTCCAAAAAAAATATTGATCGTTCAATAAATGCACAAATTATTTAAAGACAACATTTTGCTAAAACACTTTTTTTATCAACTTATTATCTACTGAAATAAAAGTGATGATTAGCAACTAAATGTAATGATCTCATATTGTTGTTTACTAAAAGAAAATCTTTTTGTTTGTTTGTTTTTGTTCTTCACTTTAATGTTCACTCAAAATTCAATCAATTTAAATGTTAATAAATTGTGCATAATTTATATTGTAACTATGATGTCAGTTATTTATTTTTTAGTTTTTTTTTATCTTTTATTATTTATAGATTAGTTACGAACAAAGTATTATCCTTTTTAAAGGTCATAATTGATTAGATCAACCAATAAACAAAAAAGAAAAGAAAAAAGTATGTATCAACAAAATGGGTTAAAAATGACGAGAAAGAGAGAGAGAGAAAAAATGCAGACTGACATGTGGTTATGCTTGATTACTTTCCTTAGTGACTACGTAAGTATTATGTAATCGTAATAACTATCACTGTTTTTTTCTTAATATATAATGGAATTTTAGATGAGTTTATCTGATGATTAAGCATAAAACATTAAAGAAAATTAAATAATATAAGATGGTTTTGCAGAAAAAAAAATTTAGATAGAATCTTAGTCAATAATACTGATTTCTGGATTCGCTTGAATAACATATCTTGTCGGCATTAGATAATAAGTAACATTTCCTATTAATAACATTATTATTAGCTTGTATTGTTTATTTTTTTAAAAAAAGAAGGTTATATGTCTGGATGCCATAGAAATATCTTATCTTTTTTTTCAAATTTGAAGATTTTTCGAAAAAAGATGGATAAAATTCGATAGTTTTGTCATTTAAAATGCTTATGAATTCTCTTTATATAAAGTAAATAATAGATTTTATCAATCGTCAGAAATGACATTGATGATTCAGATTATATCATGACTATATAAGTACAGTTAATGATTCGATGAGATTATAACTTATGGATGACCATTGAAAAAAGTTAAAATAATCTTGAAAAAATGAACCTGCTTATTAGGTATAAAAGAGGGCTATAAATTATTGTAACAAATTAGGATTCGAATTTAAAGTTAGAAGTGTAGATTACAGATTGAAGTTGAGGTTTTTTATCACGAGGTGATATGAGGTATAATGCTAAAATTCTATTCGTATATATGGATGGTTGAATTTCATGCAAAATACTACATTTGTTATCTTTTATTTTATTTGTTCGTCCATAAATTGTAGTTTTGCCAGTAACGCTAATCACTTGAAATTGAGTTATTGATGACTCATTAAAACAAACCCAGAAGGTTATTCATTTTTCCTGGCCACTTTTCTGAGGCTTCAATAAAGATTCCATAGAAGGAGTGGTTTGTACAAATAATTTAACCAATTAAAATGTTTGATTGATAGTGATACCTTCAGAAGCAAAAGTAGTTTTTCGGTAGTGGTTTTAAAATTCAACATTGCTGAGGAGTACCCAACTTAAGTTACGTATCTACTTAGTATTTATTTTCAATCGTTCATCAGCTGATATTAGCTTGAATGATCTAAAAATAAATTATGGTTTTGTACAAAATTTATTTTTCATTGAGTAAATAGGCTCTGATGGATTACAAGGTGTCATTATAAAGAAACACACTACATATAATCGTAAATGAAAAAGTAGATATTTCAGAAATACTTCAAGGACCTTAATACTAAACATTTGTTTAAAATAACACGTTTAGTAACCATTAATTTTATGTAATAAGCTGATTGCCGAATTCATTCCTTTCGATTTGGTGTGGTGAAAAGTAACACTAGTCCTTACAAACAAATAAACTTTAACAAAAAACTTCAGTACAAAATTTTGTAATTGATTATCAATTTATATGGAAATTTGTAAGTTACAATGAAGAAATATATGAGTAAACCGTTTGTGGAACAGTCAAATATCACATCTAAGCTCATTTTGAACATTTATTGCAAATTCATAGAAACTACTTATCTTAATGAATAGAGAAAATAAACGTTTTATGTTAATTTTTTAATAATTTTATAATTACGCTCATGAGTCAATTGCAGTTAGACCATCATGAAAAACCTGGAAGCACTGAACGGCCCTTTCGTCCTAGAATGGGACTTCTCAGTAATGCGCATCCATGATCTCATCCGCAATGGTGGATGGTGGCGCGATTTCGTGGATTGGTTGAAGTTAGACATTAACACTATTGGATGCCGGCTCAGTGGTCTAGAGGTTAAGCACTCGCGCGCAAGACCGATAGGTCCTGGGTTTGAATTTCGTGAGGCAAGATCGTGGATGTGCACTGCTGAGGAGTCCCTCCCACAATAGGACGAAACGGTCATTCAGTGCTTTCAGATTTTCTATGGTGGTCTAGCTTTAATTGACTTATGAACTCAATTTTAAAATTACGAAGATCTCCATAAAACCCTTTTCTGATAATTTTTTAGTAAACTGAATATTTGCTTCAGTTTATTTGTAGATCTCCTTTTATGTCAGGGTAATGAAAAAGTTAAGTGTTAAATGGTGTTATCAGTAGACTACAATTAAAATGCACGACAATAATGATCTTTCAAGTATTCATATGGTTAACACAGATCATTTATATATGCATGAACCCATCCTTAACACTTAACATTGTCTACCATAATAAAAAGTGTGTTATACTAAGACATTGTTTACTGTATTATTCACAGATATGGTTTATTTAATTCTATAATGTTTTAATTACAATTATAGTAAGTATTATTATGATTGGACTAAAACATTTTGATTATTTGTTTTTATTTTGTTTACACATATGCTAAATCTAACAAAATGAAATATATCAGAACATGTTTTTGTTGATATTATAGTAATTTCAATAGTTGAGGTTATGAGGAGTTTCACAATCGGACGAAACGGCCTTCTAATGCTTCCCGGTTATCCATGATAGTCTAGCTTCAATTGACCTATGATCTCAACTACTGAAAATGATCTACAGGTAATAAATAATTTTTTTTCACATTTTAATGACATCTAGAATCCTAAATAAGTGAGGAAGGAACATTAAATATTAAAATCATCAATCGATATACATAGATAGAATAATATATCAATAAAAAAATACGTCTCAGCGAAATAATTATGTCATAACGCATGTACTCACTTGACATATTACTACTTCATTCAGATCACGAAGGAACGTAAGTTAAGAAATTATCAAAATTTCAGATGAACTGGATAGCTATTTAGTTTATGTATAGAACTTCTCAGAAGTATAGATTCACAGCAACACCGAAGATTGAGCTTAAAACTTAGATATCTGATAGCGAACGTTTGACCTTTAGATCACGGAGTAAGAATCAAATGATATGCATGTTTGAGAACAATCAACTCAATGCAACGAACAATTATTTTGTTGTCTTCGGTCGGCAGCAACCTAGCCATTGATACGATTGAACTTTACTGGTCATAATTTCTTACTAGAACCTTAAAAACCATTGAACTTTTACTTGAAGGTTTAAAACGTCTAGTGGTCTCTACGAAACAAGAACATCTGATTCCTTGTGGTAGCACCGTGGATGTACACTACTGAGGAGTCACATAAAAAAATGGAAAAAAAATATCCAATCCTTCCTGATTATTGATGGCTATCTAACTTACGATGCATCATAATCTCAACAATCTTCATCAATCTCCAAAATCTTTGGTACTAAAATTATTACATATTTAACTTGTTTGTTTTTCTTCAGCTTTACTTCTATTGGACTTAATTGAGATTGTTTTCAATGAAAATATATGCTGTTTTAAGATCTTACAATTAACTATACATAAAATAGACATTTTTCAATGATAGAACATATTATGATATACATATAAATGCTAACTAATTCATAAGTATATTTAGATAATTTTTATACCGAATGTTTACTTTATCTGATTGTATTCGTTGATTAATTAGTCAAAATCAGTTACAATTCAATTCAAGTTTTAACCATGTTTGTCTGGATAGATCTACAGAAAATTCACTTTATAAAGTTCATTAGACCTAGAAACATTAATGGTTGCGTTGTATTCGCTAATAATTTTTGTTTTTCTAAAGGAATCAAGAGGAAGTGAATATGTTGAATAAAAAGAAAAAATGTTGTTTTTGTCTGATAAAATATAGATATTTATATATTTAATAAACTATTTAATAAAGCGATCAGATGTAAAAAGTAACAACACAAATTCATATTTTTTGATCTCTTGTTTTAAAGAAGCGTTTTTTTTATCTATACAGATTTTTCAAACATTTATAAATATCAGAAAAGGGTTTTAGTGGATATTATAGTAGTTTTAATAGTTGAGATTATGAGTTAATTGAACCTAGACAACCATGGAAAACCTGGAAACACTGGATGGCCGTTTCGTCACATTATGGGGCTCCTCTCAGTGGTTAAAATTACTATTACATTCACAAAAACATATGATCACCGGAAACTGGCTTCAAGAGGTATTTCCTAGGGTTCTAGTGAGAAGCAGTGACCAGTGGATTTCAACCAGGTCTGTTGTGAGATAATAACTCACTGATGACAATGGTGGATGTATCGTTCAATTTCGTGTATTAGTTGAAGTTAGACATTAATAACGTTGGATGCCGGCTTGTGAAGCGGGATCGTGGATGCGTACTGCTGAGGAGTCCCACGATAGAACGAAACGATCGTCCAGTGCCTCCAGATTTTCCATGATTATCTAGCTTTAATTGGTTCATGATCTCAATTATTGAATTTATGAATATGATATAAGCTTTTTTTATACTTAAAGTTCACTAATATAATTTAAAAACTAAACTTTTACCAATGTCAATATTGTGAAGTGAATATGATAGTATAGAATTAATAGAACTATCATTGGAGTGTAAATATGAAAGTCCTACATTCTAGTTGACTGAAGTAATTTAAAATCAAATGAATATTGTTTAGTTTTAAGTTAGTATTCACTATTGAAACCAATTGGGAGAACTATTGAAAATATTGTATAGAAATATTTATTCTAGTTAAATGCTCATCTACTTTTACATACTATATCATAACTCTTGGATATTGAGCGTTTCCCGAATATTTTTTTGTAAATTTCTCAAATTTAGTAAATAAATAATAAGTAAATCCCTTGTAAATCAAACTTGTTAATCAATATGTAAAGTCTTTTTGAATCGATACTACTTTAGAATTGTGTCAAATTTATTATCATTCACATGAATTAAACCTTATCCGAGGAAATATTTTGTTCTTTTTTTGTATTGAAGATCATACAACTCTGAAATCATTAATGATATAACGGAATTTTGTTTCTTCTATACCTATATAAATAATATGATAAGATAATAGAAGTTGTGCTCGTATATTATTCATTCAAATAAATATACATTTACAATCAAGACAGAAGTGACACTTGGAAAAATATGAAGCTACAAATATTTAAATAACTAAAGGGAAATACTGCCAAACTCTTAAAAAAATTTATTTTTAACGTATATGTAACAGTCAAACTATAAGTTTCGGAAATCAAAAACAGAAAAAATATGATAATCAAAGTTAAACGACCCAACTGTTCTGTTATGTTCACCATCCAATGAATAAGAAGACAGAAACAAATAGTTCAATAAACCAAATAACTTTATGCATGTAGAATTTTCATTGCTTGCAACCACCTAACATAATTTAAGGATTGTTGAACCACTCAGGCTGGTAGCCACATTGCTACTTAATCGATATAATTAAATTTTCACTTAAGACTGGTCAAATAAAACATTGATTAATATGCAGAAAGTGAAATCTTCATTTTATTCGGTATTGTAGATACACTTAACTAATAAGTGCTAACTAGTTTAGAAAACAGCTCAAAAGTTCTCTGCTAGTCACTTTCAATCACCACACCAAGCATAAAATTATGTTTTGGTTGATGATAAGCTGGTATTTGAGCTAAACTTTCTCGAATATGGAGTTTCAAACTTGAAGTCTTTCTATATCGCCTGCATTATACTATCGTTAGTCATTTTGTTTGCAAACATTTATATGTGCTTATAAATAATTTTACGATGATGACGTAATACATGTTACCGATTTTAGAATTGTAACAAATTCTTATCTCATAAATTAACAGATTTTATAGTTTATATTTAATTTTTTTGTCCATATCAACTAGATTGATAATGAATAGTGTCACTTTGAATCGTTTGTGTCACCACTTATATTCATGCAACAGATATCTTTCAGTGAGTAATAACTAAGTTCATATTTGTCATATTTTCACATCTGATTGAATTCTATCAATCGCGTTGATATATAGGCACTAGTCCGTTTTATAATTTCGTATTCTTTATTCTTTAATATTAGACTATTGTGGTCGATCAAGAGAAGTAACTTAATCTATGTTTGATCCTAGCTGTCACTCAACAATAAAGATAGTCCACAACATTAAGTTAACTGATACTGTTATGTTCGCTACTTGATTAACGCATAATATGGTTTACAACTACAACACTCAAAATGTTTAGAACCATACAGTCGCAAATCAGAAAACAGAAGATAGCTGGAGAAGTGTTTGTTGTATAAGAATCAAAATCTACAGAAAATCATGGGTATTTATAGATTTTAGCCTTTATTATAACATCATTATAATTCAGCCAATTCGCTAAGAGGCATGTTATGTTACTATCTAAAAGTAGCATGCTATGATGATATTCTAAAAAACTCTATCACGTTCTGATTAGATGGAAACTCTTCGGCTCTTTTAGGGCCTCTAAAGACTCACATTTATAGTACTCGAAAGCCATCCCAACAGACACTCCCTGAAGTGTTCCACAATATGAAATCCTTCAATCAAATGAAAATGTTTTATTAATTTCATTATAAGTGTACCACTATTGACATGAATACATTCTACAAAAATTAATAGTAATAAATATATTTCTACTGGCTTTATTGATTTTTTAAAATTCTTATTTATACAAAAGGAGGTTTCATTGAAACAAGATGTTGATTAAATCAACTCCAGGCATTTATGTAATGTACATAAACATTATTGTGTTTATAATTAATCACATATAGATCAATGTATCTGTATCAGTTTGCTTTCTTTCTATAAAAAAATTAAGATTAGTGTGACCTAATGTTACATAATTTTTCCTTTATGATATATTTTATTTCTCTATTTTACACACAAAAGATTCACTAATTATCTGGGGATTGTTTTTTTGGGGGGGTATTTTACTATCAGAGGAATTTTAACTATTTAAAAAGTAATCTAATGATTTAAACAATGAAATAAGATTGTAAATTCAGAATGACAGTTTTAATTATTTATTTATATTGATTGATTA